CCTGTGTATATATTTATTTATGTTTTACTTTTCCCGTCTTGCTGCCCTTACAGCCACTTTAAGCCTTTATTAAAGTGTGTGAATCCAAAGTCAGCAGGGAAAGCGATGGTAGAATGGGAATGACAGCAACAATTGACAGCAAAACAAACGATTGTCATTGCCAAGTGTGTGCGTCAACCTTTGAACCCGTCCCAGGGCATCAGTTCTGTGTCAAAGTACGTCCCCACTTTTTTGACTTTCCACTTTCCACCTCCATTTCCACGCTGCTGGAAAATAGATGTCAAGCGGTTTTCCCCCCAGTCCGTTTAAATTGAATTGTTAATTCGGCACCGAAACCTTTTCCCTTTTCTTGCCTTTTGTGTGTGCGTGTTTGGCATCAATGCGATTTCTTTATATATATATATCTCTTTTTTTGTTTAACTCGTTTCGGTTGAAAATATTTATGTTGAACCCTTTTTGTGGCGGCTTTTGTTTTGGCCTTTGTTGCGTTATGCAAACATTCAACTGCCAGTGACAACAGGACAGGAAAAGCATCCCTACTTTCCCCACTTTCCCCAACTAGAACATCCCAACTGGTTAAAACTGAGCCGGGGGTCAATGGGGAATACATATAGTTGGGCCATAGTAGTTAGATGGCTAGATGCCCAGATAGCTACACCTGCATTGGATGGCTCTGTGGTCCTGGCAGCCGATTCTATTAACTTTTTGCCCGTCCAACATTTGCATATCCCGACCGCAAGAGTCCAGTTTTCACAGTTTTCAGTTTGACTCCCGACAATCCGCCATTTCCACGCTCGCAGCTCCTACATTGTTTGCCATTTGCAACTGAATACCTCATGTACAAAGTATGCTCCGCCCATTGCCACCCATCAGCCATTTTCCGCCCATATTCCGCCCACTTTTCACCCATCTACCCACAGTGACTAAAGCATAAATCAAGCGCAGAGCACAAATATTTTTCAAGTGACAACAAATATATAATGACGATTCCCCGGACTCTGCCTCTTGGCCAGAACCGGAATACCAGAGCACCTGAATGGACGCTGCCGGAAGTCGAGTACCGTGCGATTCTGTTGACTCTGTTGTTTTTTGCTGGAAAACAGCGCCACCCGCTCTCATGATTTCTGCAGAAGGTTACACTAACTGGATGGGGGATATTCCCAATTTAATATTACGATAGTGGGTGGTGAATGGCGTGGGCTGAGGTCTTGAGACCTATTGCAAATATACACAAAATCTTGACTTTCAAGAGTTAACCGAAAGGAGAAGAAATATGAAGAGGCTTCTTGCATATTAATAGAGAACATTTCTTATTATTTCAATATTTTCTAGGAAGTTCCAAATGTCTATAAGCAGTTTTACGCCCTACATATATACATCTATGTAAATAAAAACTTGCCTTGATAAGAATACAGTTTAGTTTCCCCAAACGCCCTTCTCTGCAGGGCATCAAAGGCTCGAGTTTCCCGTGGAATTTTCCCAGGCTTTTCCGACCAAAGCTGCTCTACTTTCCGCTGCGGCTTGCGCTTTGCTGATTTCGTTTTGATTACGGCAAATTGTTTTTAGTTGCCTCCGTCGTCCTGTTTCGTGGCCAAGTTTATATTGCGGCATTTGTGCAGCTTGCCCAGTTCCGTTGATTTGCATTTATAGCCGCGGTAATCACAGGTCAAGTCGCAAATTATATTCAACTCCAATTGCTGACCTTAACTCCGTCCCAAATATTGACAAAGTCCCAGGCAAATAAGCGTTGCGTGCCATTGGCATTAAGAACTGATAAATGCTTCTATTTGTTGAGTCATTTTGGACGACTATGTGCATTACTTATTCTGCTATTTAGGCGACTGTATTTGTAAAATTACATAAAGCCGATCATTTTGGTAAGTATCTGCAAAGCAAACAACTAATAACTAGCTAGTTTGTTTGCTTGCACCAGTTAAATACATTTGTGTTACAAGATCTTTTTTTCGGTTTTAGTTTAGTTTGCCGCTGGCGTCAATTAGCAAGTTTTTCGATGCACAACTTTTTAATGAAATTAACACACCCGCGGGACCCGTTCCCTTTTAGCCTTCGTGGAGCAGAAGTTAAGTGCTACTTCAACTCCAGACTGCTCCTAATGAGCGGGTACACACAGCAAATATAGGTTGATAACCATGACTGGACAGATGTCTGTCGGTATGATGTGATATCTAGGCACTGCCATTCTGCTTAGCTGATTAGTTTGTGTGGGCGCGACTTCAATGGCGATCTATAGTGACTATAAGTAATACGGCGTAACAGCTAGTTCCTGCACTCATGTCATACATATTTCAGTGGCAGTGACAGTCGGAGGTTAGCACGCACACATGCCACGCCCCCAGCGACTTTCCTGCCACACATAAGCTATTCCACATATAATACTCGTACAGATAGACTTTGAGTCGTTTGCGTTTCGATTAAACAAACCTTGTCAAATATGCAATGACATTGAGGCAAAGGCATGGGCAATCTAGTGTAGTGAAATCAGGGCTGTTTATTAGGCTATGATCCCCTCTACGTAATTCAATAGTTGGCAAGCAAACCTTAAAGAGATTTGTGTAAAAAAACTGAAAGCATTTTGTGACGAACTTAATTCAGCTTAAGCATTGCGGATTATGGGTGCATTCCACATACAACATTTAAATTCATTTATATTTCTAACGCTGATTTTTGTTATGGAATCGGACCTATACTTTATATTTTAAGATAAGTTGGGTTATGACTTTTAGAACTTCAGCCGGGCCCAAGGTTTTTTAATTTTCTTGAACTTCTACATCATCACATTAAAAAAATTACAACAAAATTAAAAAAAAAAGATATAGTCGAGTTCCGCGACTATCACATACCCGTTACTCAGCTAGTGGAAGTGCGAAAGAAAAATTTCATAACGTTCTGGAAATTCGTTAAAAATGAGAATAAAATTAAGAAATCAAAAGAGAAATTGTTCAAAAGTGTGGGGGTGACAGTAGAGTGGGCGTAGCAAAAAGTGTTTCGGCAAATCGATAGAATTTACAAGATTAATTAAAAAGTAAAAACATATAACCTTTACTAAAAATGTGGCCGTGGCAGTTTTGTGTGGTTTGTGGGCGTTAGAGTGGGCGTGGCAGCATTTGGAAATAAACTTGCTTAATTTTTGCTCAAAGTTAAGTTTCAGCAGTGATTGCATAACTTTCGCTCTAATTAGGCAAAACAAAGAGTAGTAGCAAAGACGAAAATGAAGCGAAAGGATGCCAGCGAATGCATAAGTCAGCTGAAGCGAATGAAGCACTTACATATATAGGCGGTCATATATATTGCATGACTGGTAGGAAACAGGACATTAGTAGCTGTGTGGAAAATAGGGGAAAATGTCAACGCATGCAACACGCCCGGCGCCCAACTAACGCTCAAGGATACGCAAACACACACACCGACAGCACTGGATGTTGGTGTGTATCTGTATCTCCATCTGTATTCGTATACGTACGAGTATATGTATCTGTGCTTGCAGTTTGCTTGCGTAACGTAAAAATAGCCTTGAACTGCAGCCGTGCGCTTTCAATGGATTTGCATGCCGCCCACCATGCCCCACTGCCACCCACTCAAGGTCACGCGATGCCTACCGCAAATGGAATCGAGGCGGCCCGTAAGGACGGGCTGACATGACGACCATTATATAAGCCCCGGCGACCGACGCAAATGTCGCCGAGACACCCAGCTAATTGCCACTCGAGGAGCAGCAGCAGCATGAGGAGCAACTAGAAATGCAATTGCAATTCCAGTTGCAACATTGCAACAGCAACAATGACACGCAATTGCATTATTGGCCAGCGAGTGCCAGCAAAGTTGGTCCTTTCGACGCGAAAAACCAAACGAAAGACGCCTTCAATCCGAATATTTTGCTCACCGAAAGCGCAATTCCGGCTAATAACATTAATTCCAATTTTTGGTAAATTTGTTAAAGACTCAGGGACCGAAAAGTGCGAAATCTGAATGGGGACCCTAATGAATATTTATATGTATTTGTTTGGCTTAATATTTGGAGCTGCCCTCGCCGTTGCTGGCCATTAAATATGCCTTTTCCCCGCGTTTTCTCTCACTTTCTTCTATTCTGGTTTATTCCCGCCATATCCTTGCTATATCCTTGCCATTTGCTTATGCTGGCAGCTCTTTCATTTTGCTTTTTGCTCTTCGCTCTGCTCTGCTCTGCTTCATCGCCATCGTCGTGTGCAAGTTGGCCATAAAAATGGAGTAACATTTATGACCCACATCAGGCGCACACAAGCAAAGGCAGCACACATACACGCAGAAGGACTCTGGACGCAGGGCTTGCACTGAGAAAAATCAATCTTAAAACTTATGTTGATATTCACCAATTGCGGTTATCAAATTATTAACGTTAAAGAATTAAAGAAATTTTAGAATTTAGAATTTTCCCCTTATCTTTGCATATCAATCACAACACCAAACCCGTTTAAAATACATTCTGTAAGCGTATGATTTGTTTCTCCTATGTTTAAAATTTTAATGTGAGTTCCTTGTCACTTTTTACAAGATTCTTTAAAAGATATTGAGTTTATGTGTACCTTTCAATCCTTTTTGAACATTTCAAATGATGTAATTGAAAAGCATGCAAGAAAATAAAAAAGTATTGAAGTATTTTTCTCTGTTTTGCTAAACGAAAATGCTTCTGCGTGGGTGTGGATGAACATTAGGGAGTTTTAGAAGGAAAGGGAATGACGCCTGCAAGCGCTAGATTCACAAGGATATTTTATTTTACTGTTATTTCATTCCCCGCTTCTTGTTGCTGTTGCTTCTACAGTCGCTGCTCTTTTGTTATTGCTCCTTTCGGCATTTCGACATTTACTTTTCGACTCGCAGCGCATATCCTTGAGCTGATATTTTACTTTTTGTGATCCTTCCCCGTTATGGGCTAAAGCTATTTTCAAGGTTAAATATGCGTGGCATATCGGAATTCAGGGATTTTCGTGTGTTGAGTGACTTACCTTTTGCCCCATTAAGTATGCTACACTTTGGCTGCAGCACATGCAACATTGTGGGAGCTTTTCGTGCTCCTCCTTGCCGCTCCTTCTTCTCTGCGCGTCCTCCTCCCCTTCCTCCTCCTCGTCCTCCTCTCTCCCTCTCCTCCTTTTCGTTTACTGACCCAGTTTGCTTTGTTTTGCGTGTTTATCTTGCTCAGGTTGTTTTTGCGTTGGCGGCTGCTGTTGCCGCTTGTTTTTTATCTACTTATATTTTAGCCCTAAACTGCTTCTTGTTTTTGTTGTTGTCGCAACTATGACCGAGTTAAAAGCACACATACATTCGTTTAATTAAGAAGAAGGGCAAGACAAGGAATGGAAATGAAGGAAATTTTAGAAATAAGCGACTAATGCATTTCTTAAGGCAACTTCTTAAAATTCGCGCCTTTCCTTTCTCTGCTCTTCTACTTTTTTTTTTGGGCCCTCTACTTTCACTCACAATTGTGCTGCTAATTTCGTTACTTTCACTTTGATAGGCCTTCTGAATGCACGTGTGTGTGTTTTGGTGTATCGGTGTGTTTTGGCTTATGAAGCACACGTGTGCGTTTACGTGTGTATCCGTGTGCGTCGATTAACGGCATTGATTTTTTCCAAAAAAAGAAGAACTCCACTTTAATTTCACTAATTCGATTTGTTTTCGTTATTCGATTATTTTGTGCACCGTTTCACGTGGACATTTAAGCATTTTTCGTTTCGCTTTGCTTTAATTTCGGCGATTTGCGCGCGCGCTGGGTGTACAGGTGTGCGTGTATAATTGCGTGTTTGTGTGAGTGTTCGTGTGTTGGTTGAATACAGCTGCCCGAGAGCGAGGATTTCGCAGAGGCAGCAGCGCACGTCTGCTCTCCACGACGCTTCACACACTTCTAAAGGGTCCGAGCGCGACGCTGGCGTTTTTATGGAATCCGCTCTCCCCCACCAAGAAGCGCTCTTTCACTAGCATCAGCCCTTTCTCTCTCTCCCTCTCGCTTTCTCTGCCTTTCTTTGAACGCCTCAATGTCTACGCATAAATAATACGCACGTTGCACGTTGCAGAGAGGGGGAGAGGGAGAGAGGAGGTTCAACTCTCATTTCCATGCAAAGTAAGCTCCTGCAGGCAGGTGTTAAAAGTGAGGGGGGAGACGGAAACCTTAGGTTTTCAGGACTTGCAGATATCCTTTTGACCGAAAAAATACAACCCTTCGTGTTTTTCCCAATTAAAACAATATTGAATAACAAACAATAACCAACTATAATAATAAGTATCATAACAAAGGTATTACTTTATATGGTATTTAAAATGGTATATTATATATAATAATAAGTATCATAACAAAGGTATTACTTTATATGGTATTTAAAATGGTATATTATATACTCCAGCATTTTCCCATCGGATTTAAAATGTTACATTATTTTATTTGACAGTCCAATATACAAATTGTCATTCATACAATTTAGAAATGATCTTCCCGGCAGCATTCCCCTACACTAATGTCATACGTCATCAGAACGGTAAACAAAATTTCGGCAGAGAGAAATTCCCATACAGCATACAACACAAATTGCGCTGCCTTTGCTCTCGCTATTTGGATCACGCGCACCGCGCTCCTCTCGCTCGCTCACACTATCTGTGCTCACTGCGCAGACGCACAAGTGAATCGCTTTCTCCCTGCCGCCCACAACTACCATTTCGTCACTCTGCCTCTCTCTCTTTGGGCAGCACTAGTGTTATGGCATGCGAAGCACGTGAATTTTTGTGTTTACTTTTTAATTTTCTCCTTGCTCTCAGCCTCAGTTGCCATTTGTTTTTATTGTTGCTCCCGCTACCACTCGCTATTGTTGTTGTTGGTGCTGCCACCTATTTGGGCTTTTGTTTTTCTTTCTCGCATGTGTGGTCCTTTGTTTTCCTTGTGGGCCTTGCTTTGTTTTGTTTTGTTTGATTCCATTCATACGGAGTTTGCTGGGCTTTGGATTCTTTTTTTTTTCGGGTCGAAACTATGCAAACCGTTTTCCATTTACGATCGACAGTGTGTGTTTGTGTGTGTGTGGCTATGCATGTGTGAGATTTGTATGGAAATTGGCGCAATATACGCCCCAAACCGAATTCAAGTCCCCAGTTAGTTATGTGCAGCGTCTGCCTTTTCTGCATTCACATTTTCTGAGCACTCACATGCATATGTATGTACATATGTGTGTTGCATATGCTTTTTGACGAAGCATGGAACATTCCTTTTTTCACAATCTCCCTTTTAAAAGGTCTTATTTGTGTTGCAAAATAATATTTAATACAATATAAGAGCTAAGTAATCTCCGTAACTTATTTTCTGAAGTAATAATAAATATAATTGGGAAAATGTTGAAGTGCAAAAAGGTACAGTTATAATTCGAGTAAGATATACCATAAAATCTGAATAATAGGGAAAATGCAATGCAAACTATTATATTATAGATTTGCATCGAGGAGATTTCAGTGAATTCGAACGATGGAATCGCTGGCCATGTGTGTTATGGCATTTTGGATGTTTGTTTTGGGGAAATGTTAAATCATGCATGCTGATTGTCCTGTGGCCTCGAGGATGCCATAAGCAGCAAGGATACGCAGCGTAAAACAGCATAAAACAGCACATAAGCATCGCAATCGGCATCAGCCATATTCGAATTTCGTTTACATTTTCAGCATTGTTTTGCATTGCCGGCATGTGCAAAAGGGACGGGGAAAAGAGGGAAAAGCGAGCTGGATGCAAATGATGATGTTGCCCACCATTGATAGCTGGGATATCTGCCGAGTTTTCCCTCATTTTCCCAGCCATGAGCCACCTCGCTAACGGCTTCAATTTGGCCCGTGGAAAATCAACATCATAACAACCGCCGCAGCAACAGGAATTCTGATTTTGAGCAAACGGAGTGCAGAGTAAACAAATAAACAAAGCACTCCCCCGGAAGTGAGGGAGGAGAGGGAGGGGCTTTGTGGGAAACTGTATGCGGGCGGTATCCACAGCAATGGAAACCCTAACCGTAACTCATGAGCCTCCTGCTCCCTGCTCAGGAACTATTTCCATGAGTAATTGCCGTTGTGCATGCGCCTCTGTCTCGAAAATGGCACTGCCCCTCTTGGCCCGCTCAGTTCCCCATCAACATCGGCAACACCATCATCATTATCATCACCAGCTGTATTTGTTGTCAGCTGCGGTCGGGCTTTAAGCCATTTAGCCAAGGCAGACGGCTGAGCCTGCTCCCAGCAGGAGCGCCCAGCCAGGTAAACTGTTGATTCCATGTGGCGACACGGTTGTCGAGAATTCCCCCAAAGCCCTGCGCCCCTCCACACATTTTCACGTGAGAACTTTGGCCTATGCCACCCATATGCTATCTGTCCACGTCCGAGTATATGCACCTTCGAGTTTATATATTTCTACAATTGAACTTCTTTAACCCAATCTGACACATGGAGGTCTTAAGTCCTAGTTTATATATCGTCAAACACCCATTTAGTTATATTACCTAATGCTGCACTGAATTAAATAGTTTCCTATGCGATTCGTTGTAACGAACGTTCACTGTATGAAAACATACCTTTATTAACATAGAGCAGGGCACAAAAAGATCTTTATCCATGCACGACGTAAGACATAATGCCTTTTTGTGCCACTTCAACTGAATTCATCTACCTCTCGACCTTTGACAAAGGAGTTTCTTTCAGTGGACACTGGCCATTCTCGGATTTCGTACAGAAATAGCATTCATTTGCCAGACGAAACGCTACAATGAGGGATGTGGGTGACTCTCTGGGTGAAGCATAAACCAGATCCAGTCCCCAGATGGCCATAAAGTCCGACTGAATGCACTCAAACACGTAAACATTTCGGTGCTGGGCGAACACAAAGCAATACTCTGAAAAGTATGCTATAAAAATGCGCAAGTGACAGAAGACCCACAAACATTAGGCCATCAATTTCGGCCTGTTTCCGGTTATTTTTGTCAACAGTCGATAGCTTAGATTCCCTCTCGAAATCAACCCTACAAAACGACAAAAACGACACCCCTCGGTTACTCTAAATTTAGGCATAAAATGCTGATTATTAGACCATAAACGCTTCTATCTCGTTTCACTGCACAATTGGAATTTCCCAACTGTGGTCAGCACTTCGGGCCGTTGTGACTGCGGTTTGATTAGTTAGTTATTTTTGCAAAAACCACACATTGCTAAAAACATAGTTAGGGTCGAACTTTAATTGCCCACTGCCAAATGCAAATTTCCCATCAAATAAACCGCAAGCTAATGCACAAACAAATCGCATTAAATGGAAACCATTTTTTTTTCGATTACCCCGCCTGAGATTCGATTCGGTAAAGGGGAGTGGGAAAATGGAAAATTGTAGGAGGCTGCTGAGCAGAGGAGCAGATGAGATGACACTTGAATATTCTGGGCGTGATCGATGCGCAAAGCTTTTGGTTTCCTCCACTTTGGCGAGCGAATTGAATTCGTATAAGACGCACACGTAAGCAGTGCTCCGTCTCCCTCACAACCACCTGCCTCTCTCTCGCACTCTATCTACGGGTGTTTTCCCCCCTCGTATGGCCAAAATTAATGTCAATTTTTATGCCTGATTTATGGCATCGCATTTATTCTTCTGGGTGGCAGTCGGAGCCTTTTTAGCCCGGCTTCATTTGAATTCAATTGCTGGCGAAGATGCCACAGCGCTGATTTTGTCGCAGCAAATGTCGAAGGAGCAGGTCGAGTGCGGCACGTGACCCGCTAACCTCGAAAGCGCAATACACACAGCATCCTGCCCCATTCCCCGCCAGTCAAACACATCTGCCGAAGGGCAATCAAAAATTGACAACGCCAACAGACGGCAGCAAAAAGGCGTTGGAGGAGGTTGCAAGTGGGGCGGCCAAACGGAGAGAAATCTTTCCCATCTAAGGCACCTAGTTCTAGGTGTTCAAATAAATCAAATAAAATATACACGTAGGTCGAAATAATCAGTTATTGTACCCATGCCAGCAGTGACGAAAATGTAAAGGAGCAGTGTAAAAGCGCAAAGTTTAAGCAAAAGATTGGCTGAAATGTTTTTCTCTCTGTGGAGGAAAACCAACTGCGCATTCCCCCAATCATTGGCCAAAAAAGAGCGCTAGTGGCAATATAAGCCAGCAAATGCCTATCACTCGACACAGCTGCAAGTGCACAAAGTGCTACATTGCAGCGAAATCCTTGCTGCAGGTGCAGTGTCAACTGGAGTTGCATTTGCATCACTTCTCCCCGAACGCTTCTCCTGGCGGAGGGGGAATATTCACATCCCACAGGTAAACACCTGCGGCCGGCACTTTGGCGCTATTAAAGAGCACCCCAGCAGTAGAATCATCAGCCATTTTCGGCTGGCAGGCCGGAAGCACTTTGCGTGCAGATTTATGGCTTGCCCCAAGCCAATCCTTGGTGGAAAATGCATCATACATACATGCCACATGCGTGTGCTTCGTTTTATGGGCACACATCCTTCGGTTTTCCACGCTCCCCTGCGCTTTTATTTTCGAATGCATTTAAATTGCATTTGCTGTGCGGGCTGATAAAACTGTCCGCACTTGACAACCTTATCGCCGCACTTAAGCTCGTGGTTAAAAACCATGCAAACGTAAATTTAATGTCGGATTTATTGGCGAAGGGTTATGATTAACATGCAAAATCGGTATTGTGGAAACGTGAAAGCCCTGAATTAGTTTTTTACAACTGGAATGTGCAGAAAAACTCCTTTTTTATAGATAAAACATTTACGATGCTCTAAACTTCATACATCTGCTGCTTTTATTCACCATTTTAACTGTTTAATTAAGTAATTTACCATCAATGAACAAATTAATCACATTGGTAACTTAGTTATAAGTCAAAATAAATTATCT